TTTTTGGGAGATGCTCCCATGGTTGTGTACTTGGCTGTTTGGAACAAGGAAAGCCCTCTGGTTATGAGGTTTTGGTATTATTTCCCCTATGGCGCCCTTTCAACACGTTTGATGTTTCAAAAAAATATATATACATAATATATAATATTACAAATAATAATGTATTCCAACACTTCAAACACCACAGGACTCCCACAAGACTCTCAAACCACACTGGACGCCACGACTGGATGCCAAAGTCGAACGACTCCGCGGCTCCGACTCTCGTGTCCTGCCTCATGTACATCGTCCGTGGGGCGGTATCGCAAGACCACTCCAGGCCCAAAGCTGGTCTCGATACAGGTGCCCAACGCACCTGAGGCCGAAAAACACAAAGGGCGGCAGGGCACCAAACGTACTGAAGAGATGAAGGGCATATAATGCACCTGAGAGAGGCCAAACAAACTTCGAAGGACTCCTTCGGGCTTAAAGGGGATGATTCGTTGCGTTTAAGCATGTTGTGGTGTCCAAGCCTCCAAGAGAGTGGAATGAGGTGTCCAAGGCATGAGGAAGTGGAAATCAACGTCGCTTTTGCAGGGCAAAACTGGACTCCTTCGGACTCAGCGGACATGGAACATGACAGAAAATTCCTTTCAAGTAGTCTTGAGACATGTCAACACATATATAGCCCCTGAACATTCCTTGACAGCATTAAAACGCACAAGATTCTCTGACAAGTGATTCCACTGTTTGTTTTGGTGGTGGTGTCGAGGTGTCGGTGATCTCGGTCTCACGAGAAAAAAGGCCTCCACCGTGCCGCGCGGTCTGCGGGAGAGAAAGACCGTATCCACAGCTATCCACTATCATATCTATCATGCGTAGTATAGTAGCCGTATCTATTCAGTCATATCCACCCACCCAGAGCTGCATCCAAGACATCATATTTGCTTCGACACAATATTAAATCCCTTTCACTTACAAAACAAACACGAGGCCCTAATAAAAACAAGTCGGGTGCCTTTCAGGTGGACAATTAGGGTTGTTTTAGGATTTTGTTGTAAACAAACACACCAAAATCGACAATGCTCCTAGTTTAGTAGCAGTTTAAAATGTGGTAATTTAAACACACAAATATATGCTGCATTACACTACTGTATCTGTGGGTTTCCCACATGGTGTTTCTCTTTTATTTTTTTAATAGGGTCGTGTTTTTAGTAGGTACTCGGGATTATACTGATACAATTGTCAGGACATAGAACAGTTCTCTACGATTGCATTCCCATCTTAGTCATCCACATTCATCCAACATGGATGATAAGGAGGTAATCAAATGGTTTGCTTCCAGGTATGTTTTGCTGCTATGCTGGTACATCTGCTACTCTCTTCGCTTGGCTTCATTGCATGTTTCTTTTCGGGTCCACCACTTCTTGTATAGTCGGGTTATAGATTTGCTGTGACATGTCACTTTCACAAGTGCTAGCTACCATAGCACAGCTTCAGCCATTCGACATGGGAAAAGCAACTGGAAAATGTCATTCACTATTTGATACTATTTGTATAACATAGATGCACCCTTTTTGTCTACATACAATCGCCTGGCATACCCAGCGCGGATAAGGGGTGTGCAGGTGTGAGTGCCAGCGTACTCGACCTATGTTTCCCTCCTCTTTGTTCCTCTTTACTTGGTGAGCTTCTTACATCATGAGATCCAGTTGTCACAAACTTACAATTGAGTGTCAATGGACAAAACACACCCAGGATCACCCAGGTCATCCTTTCTTGGACTGAACACATCCTTCCTTGCACCAGTGCGTGCACGCATGCGCTTCGCACCGCCCGAGGCGCAGAAGGAGCTCCGTTGCACCTCCTCGTGCCGGACAGAGCACCGACTGCGCTGCGCCGAGGCTTCAGCTCGATCCAACGCCACCTAAGAGGGCGAGAACTGGTGCGAGAACTGGCGCGCACGCGGCTGGCGACGAGCTGGCGCACACGCGGCCACCTCCCAGTGGTATTTCCCATGTATTTCCCATGTACTTCTCAAACGGGGGCAATACCGAGTGGCTTGTTGTTCTCAAGCTTTGGGGCAAGTGAGTGACACACGATCCTTCAGTTTGTGTGTTTTCTTTCAATCAATCACGCAGGCCTTTCGGGGCTTAACATCCGAGCCCCCTTGTTACGAGGACCGGGTAGATCATATACCCCGGTCTTTCGTCCCCTTATAGAGGTCACCGGAAAGATATGAAGCCGTGACCACTGTGTTATGGAAGAACCCAAACATAGACCCAAGTAGAAAGACTCTACTGACCGCCCTGCGCTTTTCGGGAAGTTGGACCACATCTTGGTGCCTTCCTCGTCCCCAAACGAACCATCAACGCATGAGGCCTCCAGGAATTCGTCGGACTCGGCCACGCAAATACCCCAGCCATGGGGTGTTTCCACATGGCGGCCCCGCCAAGACATGGCGTCGACCGTTTGAAAGAAAGACAACACGTCGATGCCACGCGTCGGTGCCAGGGCTCGTTGAGGCCAGGGCTCGGGTTGACTGAAATGGTTTGTTTGTTGATCATCTTGGGAAAACGATGGAAAAAGGATTCGATGTTGGTTAGAGGTGGATTTAAACCTCTAGAGACTCTGGACTCTGGACTCTGCACTCGGAAATCGTTGGTGGCCCGATGGTCATGTCTCCCACGGTTTGGCGGTGCGGTGAGTTGAGGCGAGACTGTGCGCAGCGCCCGGGGGGTGTTCGGCATCGTCAAAGCTGCAGTTGGCTGGCTGGCTGCCAAATTGATGAAAGGAATCTCTTGACACTGAGTTGCTGACACTTTCGAGGAAATGTTCCACATGATTCTTGTTGCTTCAAAGTGATAAGCTACGGTACTAAGACATTTCCCCGCAATACACATGTTTCTTCCTTTTCTCATTTGTCAGCTGCAGCCAAGATGGAGGTGCCGCCAAATGGTGGGTCGGTGTAGAGTTCCGAAGACACATAACTACTCAGTTCCGGTACCCTTGCGATACCCAAGGCACCAATATAGGCTGGCTTGCCACTTCAACGACCACTTCTCTGGTTTGTTCAATGTCTATATATATACATATATTATATTATACAGTATAATATATATATATACATATTTTACATATTTCTAAACAGACCCTTGCAAAGAAACTGGGATCCCTACACATCTGCTTGATGTGCGTCCATGTCCCTCTTGCCATGTTGGCCCCTGGGAACCTTTCACCATGTCTTCTTTCACCGGAGGAGTCCTTCCAACTTCCCAGCGTTTTGGGTGGAAAGAACTTCCCTGGCTCTTGCTCCTAGTAGTAAGGCCAGGAGTCCCGTTCGTAGCGTCCGATCGCTTCCTGGTAGTAAGGCCAGGAGCCCCGAACATAGCCTCCTAGTCAAAAACCATGTTGATCGGTTTTGTGAAATCTCTTCATCACTTGGCACCCACCACTTGGCACCGCCTTTGAGTTCGGTATGTTTCGCGGTAGATGGGGTAGATCAACCGGTGGCTCTTCCAAAACCGACACGGGCCCACCGAACTGGATCACCCAGAACGACTAATCAAATGGAATCCATGCATGATGGACCTGGTGCCAATGGTCCTGATGGTTCTCATGGTCTCATGTCATTCCGGACTCATGTCCAAATCCATCGGCCTTTGACTCAAGGCAAGTTGGGTGCCATCGACTTGACCGAAGCATAACCAGTGGATCCAGCTCCCACTATGTAGACAGCGGTATGCCATGTGATGCCACAGCCAATCGGTTAGGAAGTTAGGTGGAGCTGAGGATGAGGATGAGCAGCATTCAAGTTCCATAGATCACAATAGTTCACAATAGTTCACTGGCGACCATTGTGGTCGCATTGGTTGTTGGGATGGTGAGCCAAATGACAAGTGATAAGACGCGCACACCTTTGTTCATATCATATCTACAAAGGTGCGCGTGTCCATCAAGGAGGTCGGAGCAAGGTCCAGACTATATAAATAACTTAAAACAATAAAACCTGTCTGATCGTTTCAGCCAAGGCAACATGTGTTATTGCAGGCTGTCTTGTGACCTTTCTGTAGTACAGTACAACATGGGATTCCTGATCTTCAAGAATAGCATTATCTCTAGCAATTCAACTGTTGCTCAAAGGTTCCTCTGACCTGCAACACTTGTCTGTCTTGTATACAAAGCTGTTTTGTATACTTCCTGATCTCGGTCCTCTGTGTAATTACATCCGCAGTTTAACTCCCTTGAGGCAACGTCTACTGATCTTCGTTGTCCCGGGGCACACACCATCCGTGAGAGTGTTCCGTCAGCAAACAGTGTAAACGTATATATTAACTATAAGTTTCATTGATCAATATAAAGTTACATTAGTATAACAATGTCAAAAAACACATACAAATTTATACAAATTTTATGTTGCAAACATAATCAACATGAATCAACTCTATGGTGGTTCCAGGTCCTGGGTCGCAAGGAAAGCTTCCACCCTGCCAGTTTTTAGAAGTGCACTGCACCTCATGGTAGTGGTCCTCGGCATCATCCACCTCAGGTGTGTCGAGGGGTCTGGGTGAAACTTGATTCAAACACCCGGATGCAGCCGGTTTGCACGATCCTGCTGGCCAGATTTGGCGATGAAACTCAGTTCCTGCTATTTGCCAGGGAAAAGAACAGCCTCATTTTAAGATGCTGCCAGATATTACCAAAGTCTATCCGACGCTGGGGGAAATCTCAATGTGTCTACCCGACTAGACTGTTTTTTAACGATTCTACCATCGACGCGGTTTCTAAGCAGTTTCTGGGCAAGTCATATTCAACTATGAGCTGAAAAGGGCTGGTTCGGCCGTGTGGTTCGTTCAACTCAGGAACTCCCCCATGATCACCGCCAATAGAACCAATCTCGCAAGCAATGAAAACCCTAGCCATGTTCTGATGTGTCAATGATATGGTCCAACACCTTCACAAAAGTCAATATTTATCAATATATATATATATATAGTCTATACTTTTTTGACATGTCTGAACCATGCAACCTCAAGAAGAACCACCGCGCAACCACTCCCACGTGTGGTGTCCTTTGCCAGCTGTCCGGATTCTCCTCCCAGAATCGACTCGGGGACGCGTCCAAACGCAGGAGACTCACCGGTGGGACCCATCCAAAATGAACAGAATCGACTACCTGGGAGGTCAAAGATCAACAAATTGCTCCACCAAGCTATTGGGAGGTCCAAGCTCTAGCTCCACCCACGGCGACTTGGTCCCGCTGCTGGGCTATAACCCAACGTCCGCACCGTCTCCTGGAGCAAAAGAGGCCCCGGATGGCAAAGGAATCCTTTGGATCCAGCCCTCCGACCGGTGGATGTTCTCCAAAAAAGGCAGACACATCTTCCCAAGATTTTCCATGATTACACCGGCCGCGCGTTCCAACCGCGCGTGGCTTGGCGCTCGCAGCGGGCACTCGCGGCACGACGCGAGTGCCGGTCCTCAAGCTGGAAGGAGCGAAACCCATTGCGACTCACTGCGTATGCCACGAGGAATCCTGTGGTCCGTGAGGAAAAAACGAGGAGACCCGATGTGCATCAAAGATGTGGTGGATGGGAGGACGGGATGAGATGGTGAGACGGTTGGTTGGTTGAATGGGCGCCCCAAAAAAAGGATGAAAGAGGAACGAGGAACGAGACTCGCTCTGGTGGGAAAGGGATGGAAAGGGTTCGGATTATGGTGGTTTGGGCAAAGCATGGTGTTTTGTTGGAGTGTTTATCCTGGTTGTCCTTGGACATGTGCACAGGGGTCCAGTCCGGAAATCCCACCGAAACAACTCATGTCCCGCCATTCCACAGCCGCAGAAGACCCCCGCTCCTTGGTGAGCATGCAAGTCACAAAGCAGTGAAGCTCGCAAAAAGCCTGGGTCTTCGCCCACAAGGTGGACTGCTCACATTGCCGTACCCAAAGCGGGGGGGGGTTGAGGGGAGAAGAGACATATATATATATATATGTCAATACAATATAGTACTAACAATAAGAAAGTCATGCATTGCCCCTTTGTTTTCCGCGAAGTGCCATGACTCGCCACACACGAGTCAAACGCCGTACAGACACCGAGTCGCACTGCAAGTCTGCGCGTCGTGGTGGCGGTCTGCGGTCGCCGAAGTTCCCTTCCCCCTGCCTTTGAAGTCTCGCTGGGAGAGGAACATGCAGCGCAAGTAGTCCTATGCAGAAGGAAGATCTGTGACATCTGTGACTCCACGTGACACAACTGGTCCCGACGTGGTCTGAAAGCAATGGTGAAGGTGATCAAAACATTCCATGGCCTGGCTACAAGTACCAGCAATCAAGTGATCTAACATGATACAGTAAAGTACGTTTTTTCTTCACTTCTGCTGATTGATGGATGATATGAACTTTTTGCGTTTGGGTCCGTGTTGATGGACTATCATTTTTGCGCACCGCCAACCCAATACATCTTATGCATGCATATAGACAAAACATGAACAATGTCGAACACATGACAATCCCATACCATAATACCATCCCCCTGTTTCTCGAATTGTCCCCAAATCTGCCTACTTGAGGACTAAAGGACTTCTTGTCCGTGTGATCTCACTATCGACTATCTCCCGCGGAGAACTGGGGTGCCGGCCGCTGCCAAACTCGTGGACATGTTGGACATGTCATCAGCCTGTTCTCTAAGGTGACCTTTCCCTGGCAATTTGTTGTCTGTATTCTTTGCGTTTTTGGAGGGTATCAAAGTACTTCACCTACAGTAAGTAATGGCAAAAGGATGTCTGTGCTGCCAACCCTCAAATCAAAAGGACGTCTATAGACTCTTTAGACTGTATTAACTACACTCATTGAAATCATCATGGGCCATCCACGTTCAATGGCGCCGAGTTCGGATGACCATGGTCATGACTCCAAATACCAAATCACCGGTGGTGAACCGACTCCACGCTAACCCGTTGGATGATTTCGTGGATTATTTCAAGGAATATCTGTGCCCAGCTCCTACATCCTCATATCAATATTTGATGGAATTCCTCCATTTCACCGAACCGTTAGACACGCGGTTCCGCTGAACAAACACGCTTTTTCCACGCTGAAGCGACCGACCGCCTCGACCGACCTTCCCTCGCCTCGCAGGCATCGCCCTGTAAGTCTGTGGGCTTGTCGTAGAGGCACCAACCTGTGGAGCGCAGCTTGGTGGTGAAAGGTGCGATCGGTGCGATCGGTGCCACCCTTGGGATGGTGGTAATATGTGGTAATTATATGTATACTTATCCTGAAATCCGGAGTGCAAGGGAGGCAGAACTCAGAACTCTTGTGAAACCTATAGCCGATAGAAACCTTCCAGTGGCTCCGCAATGCTCCGCATGGTTCTTCCATGTACTTCAGGTCCGGCTTGGTGGGGGTGAAGCTGCTCTGTCCAGGATGCTCCTGGCTACTGCCCATCACATGTCGGCCATTCGGTGGGCGATGACTCACCGGATCCGGACGAACCGGGCCTATCCTCAGCGCGACAAAC